CTCAAGTGGGCAGGTAAGGAGGGGTTGTGGCACACGCCTTCACAGGGAGGGTGGGGAGCATTGCATTGTGGGTGCCGACCCGTGTGAGGTCTTTTGTCGCATTACAGCAAAAAGGTTCGCCATCGCAGTTCTAATGCCGTCGCGTGGCTAGTCTGGTGAAGAGAAGGACCAGGGGAGACAGGATAGCAATCTTCCAATACTTGAGGGGCTACTCCAGAGAGGAAGGGGGTCCATTTACTCCCCGTAGCACCGGAGGCAGGACAGGAAGCAATGGGTGGAAGCTCCCCAGAGGGGGAGACCTGGGGCCCGGGGTGGGTCTGTCCTGCGGAGGGGCTGTCTGGGGGGGGGAGAGGGCTCTGCTTTCTGCCGGACCGGCTCTTTATCCGGCCACCTTCCTCCATCGCTGCCTTTGCGACCCCCCCCACTAGACGCCGGCTAAGACGAAGCCCGCCACCAACGCCGAGGCGAAGAGGCCCCAGAAGCGCCAACTGCCTGGCCCCTCACCCACCAAACTCAAGACCGACGGCCTGGAAGGGAAGCGGCCCGGCGGCCCCAAGGAGCCCCGCAACGGGAAGGTCTCGGCCACTGGAAAGACCCCCAAGGCCAACAGCCCCAGTGCCAAAGCCGCCAGCAAGGCCTCTGTGGGGAAGAAGGCAGGAGGGGGCCCCGCCCAGGCAGCCCGGGGCCCACGAAGCAGCTACCAGCAGGTAGAGCCAGAGGGAGGGGCTGGGGTCGGCAATGGGGGAGAGGGGGAGCCCTGAGCACCTTCCTTGGTCTGGTCTGGAGTTCATTTGGGGGGGGCCCAACTACTCCATCGGCCCCCTTCCAGCTACAGGTGTGCATTTCTCTTCGATCAGCCCCGTTTTCCGAGCCCAGCTGGGCGTGAGAGTCTCCACTTCCCCGACCCATTGATTCCTCTGGGTTGAAACGATCCCCGTTGTAGAAATTGGGTTCCCGGAGCCCGACGGGGACATCGGCACTAACCAACTAATCCTCCCTTCCGTCGGTCTCCTCTCTCGCTTCTTTCCTTTGACTTCGCCGCCTGCCTTCCGTTTCACGCCGACCCTGGTTTTCCCTCCCTCCCTTCCTCCCTCCAAGGACCGGGGTCCTCTTCCCACCGAGCAGCCCCGGGGGGCCCACCAGCACCCCAGCCGCCCCCAACCTCCTGAGGCTACTTCCCAGAAGAGGGGCCCCACAGGGGAGGCCTCTCCTCCTGCCCTCTCGTCGCCCTGGGTGGAGGTAAATGACACCCCCCCCGCCCCGCGTGGCCAAGCATGCTGGTACGGAGGGACTCTCGGTCCAGGCAGCAGGAGGGACGGGGCGCGGCAGGGCATCCCTTGCTGCCGGGCAAGGCAGTCCCACCACTGGTGGGGGCCTGGCAGGGGCTGCAGGCCTCTCCCATTCTTGGGCTAACCCCCCGTTGGGTTCCCATCCTGCCTGGGCCAGGAGGCGGCGGCTGAGAAGGAGGAGAAGGAAGGCCTCGTGCCCGGCATGGCTCTGGATTATGGAGACGGCGATCCCAACCCCGGCGAGATGGGCCCTCTGCTCTCAGCCCAGGCCCCCTACGATGCCGTCGTAAGTGGGAGCCTCCCGTGCATCCTGTGTCACTGTCTCTGTGTCCGTCCGTCCGTTGCCTGTTGCTGACCAGCTCGGTGGGTGCCATGATTCAGGCTGGGCTGCAGGCTGGCTTGGGGGGGGGGGGGGGGGGCGGGCGGTTTCCCTTCTTTTGCGGGTCTTTGGCTGAACCGTGTGTTGCTGTGGGCACTTTTGTGTTTCCTGTGTGTGTTTGTGTGTCCTGTCCTGGTGGGTGGCTGCGGATTTCCGTCTGGTTTTGGGGTCCCTTCTGGGTTGGCTTCCCTCCTGCCTTTCCCACCAACCCACCACTGGGTGGCGGCAGCACCACCTACCCCTTGCCCTATTTTGCCCTGAGCTGAGCCCCTCTCTAGGCTTCACCGTCTATGGTTCGACCTGCTCTGGCTTCTCCTCCACTTGCTCCCAGGGGCCTCGTTTGCATGCCTCCGCCCCCCCGTCTCTCCTTCCTCTTAGGTCTGTGACATCACCCCCCTTTTGAATGATGTCACTTCCTATTAAGTCATATATGACATCACCCCCTTTTGATGATGTCAGTGACATCACCAGTCACTGGTATATCCAGTGACATCACTCCCCTTTGATGATGTCACTTCCTGTGAAGTTATATCAAGTGACATCACCCCTTGTGATGATGTCACTTCCCGTGAAGTTATGTCAAGTGACATCACCCCTTTTGATGATGTCACTTCCTCTGAACCACCACCCCCTTTTGATGATGTCACTTCCTCTGAAGTCATATGTGACATCACCCCTTTT